TGAAATGCTTGGCTCTATAGGTGAAAGAGTGAAAGAAGGAGACCAAATCCTTTATCTCTTAAATGGATTAGGGTCAGAATATAATCCAGTCATAGTCTCCTTAACCACTAGAGCTGAGAGCTTAAGTCTTATGGAAGTCTTTGCCATGCTGTTGAGTTTTGAGAACAGATTGGAAACTCTTGAAAGAACTACTGAAGCAGAAAACACTAACTTCAGTGTTAACATTGCCACTCAAAACACCTTTGGAGCAAAAAGAGGCAGAGGAGGAAGATCAGGACCTCAATTCCAAGGTTTTAGAGGAAGAAGTGGCAGAAATGCTAACACTAGAGGAAGAGGTGGTAGATTTGGAGGATCAAGGGCCAGATGTCAGATTTGTGGCTACAACAATCACACAGCCGACAAATGTTACTATAGGTTCGATTCTAATTATGCACCACCTGCAAATCAAGGCAACAATGGTCAAGGATCCAACACAGAAACCAGAAACTTCAATCAAGGATCTAATATGCCAAGCTACAACCACTCAGCATATGTGGCTAGTGTGGGACAACAGCAAAATGAGTCATCCCAAGGATCTTGGTGGTATCCTGATTCAGGAGCTACACACCATCTCACAAATGACTTCAGTAATCTCAGCTTGGCAGGAGAATTTCATGGACCAGAAACTATTCAGATGGCCAATGGGGCAGGTATGAAAATTGCTCATCTTGGGAAGTCTTACATTGAATCTGCCCATAATCCTAGACACATGTTCTACTTGAATAATCTTTTTCATATCCCTCAAATTACTAAGAACCTGTTAAGTGTTTCTCAATTTGCCAAGGACAATCAAGTTTTCTTTGAGTTTCACCCTCTTTCATGTTTTGTGAAGGATCAAGCAACCAAGGAAGTTCTATTGGAAGGGATTCTTAGAAATGGCCTTTACACCTTTGAGCTCACCAAATGCAAGAATCCCATTGACTGCCAACAACAAAAACCTCTTACCAGCTTTCAATCAAGTGTCCTTAGTACTCAGCTCACAAATAAGATAAATATAGATTTATGGCATTCTAGAATGGGTCACCCTTCTTATGATGTTGTAAAGAGAGCTTTGACACATTGTAATGTTTCTTTTTCTGAAAATGAGAATTCTACTCCTTGTGTTGATTGCATGAAATCAAAGATGCATAAGTTGCCTTTCAATTCAGTTTCAGCTTATCCCTATGAACCACTTGATCTTATACACAGTGATCTCTGGGGGCCTTCACCTTCATTGTCTCATAATGGCTTTAGATATTATGTGAGCTTTATAGATCATGCCACACGTTTCACTTGGATTTACCTTCTCAAAAACAAGTCTCAAACCATGGGAGCCTTCATTCAATTCAAACAGTTTGTTGAAAATCAGTTGAACAGAAAAATTAAAGCCTTACAAACTGATGGTGGGGGTGAGTTTATTGGCATGATTAATTTTCTCAATCAAGCTGGGATCAAACACAAAATTTCATGTCCCTACACTCCAGAACAGAATGGATTAGCTGAGAGAAAACATAGAAACATAGTTGAAGTAGACTTATCCCTTGTCTCTCAATCTTGCATGCCTTTGAAATATTGGGATGAAGCATTTACTGCAGCTGTTCATTTGATTAACTTAACACCTAAGAAAATCTTGCAGTACATCACACCTTATGAGAAACTCACTGGGAAGAAACCAGACTACACTCATTTAAAGAACTTTGGTTGTCTATGTTTTCCTAATCTCAGACCTTACACTAAGAACAAGCTTGAACCTAGAAGTCAACCTTCTATTTTTATGGGGTACAGTCCTAGTCACAAAGGGTATAGAATTCTTCTCCCAAACAAAAAGATCATTGTTTCTAGGGATGTTGTCTTCACTGAAACAGTTTTTCTCTTTGCTCACCAAGACAATCACATTACCAACACCACTAATCCTCATAACCTTTCACCTACTGCATCTGTTAATCCATTATCCTTTGACCCTCAGTTTTCACAGGGAACCAATCACATCCCACTACATGACAATGTTGAGCCTTTATCACCTACTCCACACACCCCTCAACACACTTCTCATTCTTCTGAAACATCAACACCCATAACAACTTCTCACAGCTCATCACACACTATACCCATTGGGCAGATAATTGTAGACTTACCAATTGAGCATGATTCATCACCTAACTCTCAAGTGTCTTCTAGCCATGATCATGTGGTTGCAGGTACTCATCACATGACCACTAGGGCCAAAGCTGGAATCAGGAAACCCAAAATAAGAGCTTACACCACAGAAGTTGTGAGAGATATTTCAGAGCCATCAACCACAGAAGAGGCTCTCATGATTCCAGAATGGAAGAAGGCAATGCAAGATGAATACTTGGCCTTAATGAAGAACAAGACCTGGGTTCTTACTCCTATCCCACATGACAGATCAGTAATTGGGAATAAATGGGTCTTTAAAGTCAAAAGAAATTCAGATGGCTCAATAGCTAAGTACAAGGCTCGGTTGGTTGCAAAATGATATAATCAATGTGCTGGTTTAGACTACACTGAGACTTTTAGCCCTGTTGTGAAATCAGCCACTATCAGAATTGTATTGTCCTTAGCTATCACCAAGGGCTGGACCATTAAACAGCTTGATATTGACAATGCATTCTTAAATGGGGACATTGATGCAGATATCTATATGGAACAGCCAAGGGGTTTTGAGCAAACTGGTCATACTCCACTTGTTTGCAAGCTGAACAGATCTTTGTATGGTCTAAAACAGGCTTCTCGAGCCTGGACTAGTAAATTTTCAAGTGTGTTGCATAGCAT